TTACTGGAGACTGAGGGGTTCCTGAACAAAGTGCTTTCTGTGCTAAAACCAAGATGGTACTGGGAAAACCGGGATGATCTGTTTCCTCTAGTTCTGTGTCTTCATGAAAGTCAGTAGAAGATATTTCTTTTATGAGTTGAATTGTATCTCCTGCCCACCCCCATAACTTGTATGTTGATGTCTTAACCCCCAGTAGCTCAGAATGTGACTGTGTTTGGGAAAGTCTTTAAAGAGCCAACGAAGTTTAAATGAGGTAGCTGGAATGGACCCTGATCCAATATGACTGGTGTCCTTATAATAATGAGAGATTAGAACACAGACATACTGAGGGACCCATGTGAAGACACAGGGGAAAGAAAGTTCTCTATAAACCAAGGAGAGAGGCCTTCGAAAGAATCAACCCAGCTGGTACCTTATTTTTGGATTTGTAACCTCCAGAATCAGGAGAAAAATTAATTTCTGTTATTTAAGGAACATATTATATGGCAGCCCTAACCAAAAACGCAGTCTCTAATAGTTATTTTTGACTGTGTGCATTTCGACTGACAGTTAGAGCCTAATCTCCTCTTCCTGAGAGTTTCTCTTCTCCTCAGGCTTCCTCCTCACTGTTCATACAGGAAGATCTGTCCCCCGAAATTCCTTCACCTAGACTATGGCCTCCACACATCCCACTTCCCTTTTCTTCTAGCACCTTGCTCCTTCATACTCCTCTTTTTTTTTTTTATTAACTCTATAACTCATTAAACTATTTCTCAACCCTTCCAAACTTCCTTTAACCATGGCACTCCATAAATATTAGTCAGATACATGAAGGATGACACCAGCTTCTCCTTCCTCTCTTCTTTCTCTTCACTCCAAATTCTTTTGCATTTATTGTTCCCCTGTCTCCATTTCCCACTCCCTTGTCAGCCCCCTATAACCTGGTTCCTGGCTCTCTTGATTATATTGAAACTTTAGAGTAGCCTAGACCACAGTCACTGGTATCAGCACCATCTTGAGAATATTATAATGAGGTCTCCTTTTCTTCCAAAGAGAGTGCAAGGAGGTTTCTTTCCTTAGCTGCATAAGCATCCCTTAAGACATGCTTGGAATTTCATAATTCCCCAGTAAACAGTTTCTTCTTTTTCTGACCTTTTAGGAACTGTCTGTAGTATCTTACACTGTTGAACACTCTCTGACCCTTAAAACTCTCTCTTCTTTGGTTTTCCAAGCCTTCTTCCTACCTTCAGTTGCACCCGAGGAGTCTTTAAGTGTCTCTGTCTTTCTCCCCTCTCTCTTGCTATACACACACACCCACACACACACCAACTCCAGAAATAGTTGCTCATCAAATTTCTGTTCTTGGTTCTCTTCTCTTCCAACTCTCTTTGGTCACTAATGTTTTAGAAACACACTCATGACAACCACCACCACATCTTTGCAGTTATCTCTTGATTTAGATCACCAATCCTATGTCTCTCAGAGCATCAGGCTTGAATTTCCAATTGAATATTAGTCACTGCCACATGGTCTCATAGAGCCTATTATGATTAACATGACGAAAACTGAACTCATCGTGTTTCCACAGATTCTTTCTCAGTTATGTTACCATTCTAATTACTCAGACTAGAAAACTCAGAGCTATCGCAGTTTTCCTCCCATTTGACCTGCATGTATTATCTGTAAGCTCATCCTATTGACCCTATCTTCTAAAATCTCTTAAATCCTTCTCCTTTTCACTACATTGGATAGTTTAGTGGAGCAATTAAGAGCATGGATATCAGAGGCAAATCAACTGAATTTGAATCCTGATTCCTCTACTACTAACTAGGTATGAAACCTTAGCAAAATTATTTGATTTTTCAGCTGTAAAAATAGGGATAAAAGGAACCTATTTCATATGATTGGTTGAGTTAAATAAGTTAATACATGTGTGTGTGTGCTAAGTTTGAGTTGTGTTCAACTCTTTGAGACTCTATGGACTGTAGCTTGCCAGGCTCCTCTGTTCATAAGATTCTCCAGGCAAGAATACTGGAGTGGGTTGCCATGACCTCCTCCAGGGGATCTTCCTGACTCTGGGATTGAACCCGAGTCTCCTGTGTCTCAGGCATTGCAGGTAGACCTTTACCCACTGAGCCACCTGGGAAGCCCTCCCTAATACATGTGTAGCAAGGATTAATTGGGTGCTCACCCAACCTATTTCCTCTTCCTAAATACCCAGCAAAACTGTTTCCTGGGTTCCTTAATAAAGCGGGGCCAGGGAATGTGAGCAGAAATGTGTCACTTTCAATCAAAGGGAGCTGAAAGAAGACATACATTTTGAATGCTCCTTCTCTTCCTTCTCTGAGGCAAAATTGGAAGCAACACATAACGATGGAAGAGTTAGATGATGGGAGGATTCTGAATGGTTAAGTCCTGTCTGGAGGAGAGCTGCCCCTGTGTGCCAGCACCCAGGAGCTTCTGCAGTAGATTGTGAGTGAGAGAGAAGTGACATTTTAAAGTTTTAGTGCTGAATCCCTGAGATTTTGGTTTTTTAAAAAAACATCTGGTAGTCTTATTTATCCCAAACATCACATAAATATGCTGGGAACAATGCCACAAATAGTAAGCATTCGTTCTACTTCTATGATATGAGGTTGAGTCCAAATCATCTTTCGCTTAGATTATGAGAGGACCTCATAAAATATCAACTCTTTCTAGCCTGAGTAGTTTATTTAAGATATATTGTACCATGAAAGTCTTTGTTTTGCCCAGTTACATTGTTGGTAAATTTCAAATTATTAATGTACAGAAGCAGCAAAAGACTATTATTTTGTGATTCTCATAAAGAGGTAAAACAGTAGACACTCCATTCCTCCTTCACTGCCTCAAAGAAAAGGGTCTATGATGCCAGGACTTCTACTGTCTGCTTTCCACAAATGGCAACTTCTCTCCCACCACCTGCATCTTAGCCTCCTGAAAGCAGAGGTCAAGTTGCCTTGGGTCTAAACCCTGACTCTCCCACATTTTCTCCTTTCCAGGTCTCTCCATGTCTGGGATATACTCTTATGACCAATTCTTTGGTGAAACAATGTGTATAACATTTTAAAGAAAAGAATAATTCATCTTAAAAGACATTTACTATTTATGGACCAGATTTTATGCGCTGTGAATGTGCTTTAGAAAGGTGATGTCAGACTTGAAGGAAGGTTGTTGTAGTTGGTCCCAAAGTCACCGCAGAGATTCACTACATACCCAAACAAATGGATCTCTATGCCTCTGCCAAACACTCCATCGAGAAGATTCTTTTCGTTTTTTAAATGTTGAGTTTTTTAAAATTTGGTTGTGCTGGGTCTTAGTCGAGGCACGTGGGATCTTTAGTCTTTAGCTGTGGTATGTGGGACCTAGTGCCCTGATGAGGAATGGCACCCTACCCCTAACGACCCTCCTCCCCCTCTTCCCCGCCCCTTTGGGAGGGCGGGGTCTTAGCCACTGGACCACCGGGAAAGTACCAAGAAGATTCTTATAACCTGAGAGGGCAGGAGGGAAGGTGAGGAGTGGGCGCCAAGGGAGTATTGCTGGGGCAATTTAATGCCATAGCAACACTTGGCCTGGTGGTCCCCTGATTCCTGATGCTTTAAAGTTCAATTTACACAGTTATCACTGAATTCAGTAATGAGATAATTAGCTCGAAACTATTTCAGCTCAGTTTCTTGTCAGTTCAGGGGAACTAATCTACCCCCAAGGGATTTCCTGCCCACACCTAGCACAGTGCCTGGCACGTAAAGTTCAGAAGCTAGTGAATGGTGATCACTGGGAGGCCCCTCAGACACTTCTATCTTCGGTCTCTCCATAAAAAAAAAGAGAGACAAATTTCCCATTTGCTGGATCAGTATTTCTTTATGAGCTGTGAACCAAAACCATTTCTACCATCATCACTATAATTCCACCCACAGTAATTATCATAAAGGCCTGACTATGCCCTGTAATTGGAAGTTCTGAATAACTGTCAAAACCAGGAGATTTGAGACCTCACCCCAAACCAGTAGGTGTTCAGACCTTCCTGGACAGAAATCAGTTATGCTATAGACATTCCAGTTTAATCTGTGAAGAGATTTGAGAGTAACTGAGAGCACTTAAATGGAATATACCGAGGAGATTTATTTTTATACACAGCGTGCTTGGCCCCATGCCGACCCATCATCCCCTCCAGATGCTCGGGCCTGTCCTCAGGGGCTCTGGATCGCTCGACTCCGGACAACCACAGGGCCGCCGCCTCCGCGCCTCGCGCTTCTCGGGAAGACTCGGCCCCGCAGGCGCTCGCAGGGGGCGTCCCCGTCCGCTACTGGCCTCGCGGCTCCGGGAGCGCCGGCGGGGGACCCCGGCGTCCCGGCCGCCGAGCGCGCGCCCCTCGCCTGCGCCCCGCAGCGGCTCCGGGGGGCGGGCGCCGACCCGGCAGGCGGGGCCGGGCCGGGGGCGCACAGTCCCCCCGGAGTGCGGGCTTTCCCCACCCCCGGCGGCGACCCCACCTCCCGCCCCCGCGCCTTGCGCGCGTGTGTCCGTCTGTCTGTCTACTCTCTCGACGTCAGTGGGAATTTCCAGCCAGGAAGTGAGAGAGTGAGCGAGAGAGAAAGAGAGAGAAGTGCACCAGCGAGCCGGGGCAGGAAGAGGAGGTTTCGCCACCGGAGCGGCCCGGCGACGCGCTGACAGCTTCCCCTGCCCTTCCCGTCGGTCGGGCCTTTCGCCGCCGCCGCCGCCCTCGGCCTGCGCGCAGCCGCCGGCCCGGCCCCGAGAGCCCAGCGCAGCCCAGGCCGGAGCCGCCGCGGCCGGGAAGGCGGCGACGCCGCGGCCCCGCAACCCCGCGCCCGGCGCTCCCTCCTCCCGCGCTGCGGACATGGCGCGGCGCTGACTGGCCCGGCGAGACCGCACGCCCGCCCGCCCGCCTGCCCGCCCGGACCCAAGCCGACCCACCCAGCACCCGGACCCGCTCCGGCTCCGGCCGGCCGTCGCCTCTCCCTTCCCCGGCCCCCAGGCCCGCGCCGCCCCGGAGCGGGAGCCACAGGCGCAGGGAGGCCGAGCGCGGACCTGCCAGCAGGGTAAGCCGAACTCGGGCAAGTGGGGGCCGCGCCGGACCGGCTCCGGCCACCCGCCCGCCCCGCACCCCTCCAGCCCCGCTCGGACTTCCTCATTCCTGCGCTAACCGCTCGACTAGACCGGAGGGGCAGGTTGACAGTGGTGGAGAGGCGCATGGGCTCGACGAGCCGGGAGCCCGGCACATCCGGACTGAGCACGGGCCGCTCGGCCGGAGGGCCGCGGCTGCTCGGCCGGGCAGTTCCTTCTCTTCTGCCCCTCCGCCCGGCGGGAGCGGGACGCGGAGGGGAACTCGGGGCAACTTTTCTTTTTTATACCCACCCCCCGCTCCCTGCCGGGGGTTGGCTTGAGGATTGAGGTGCGCTTGGGCGCGGAGGAGAGAGGGGAAGGTGGTTGGTGCAGTGCCGAACCAGATTTCACCTAAGGGCGTTTCATAAAATGAAAGCAGAAGTGCATGTCAGTCCTTTCAGCCGGGAAAGCCCTCCCCGGCTCCCCCAGATTGATCGGACAGCCTTATTCCTGAACTCCTCCTTCCGAAAGAAGCCCCCAGTTCACTCACATTCTCTCACACACCACCCCACCCACAGCCAGGACAGAATATATTTACCTACTATAGGACCTGTGTGTACCTTTCAAAAAGCAAGGCGGGCCTGGTACTGATCCTACAGGGACTGGCATTTGAAAGCGAGATGCCCACTTAGGACACTTTTAAGACAGTCTGATTATGTAAAACACTCGGACCGTGTGTTGTGCATGACTTCTCAAACAAAAATGATATAAACAAAGCTATTATGACATTTTAAAATAATACATTTTAAAAATAGCTGAGTTTTGGTATAAATTTTTGATAAAGATGTCAAAATATTATCTTTCTCATCTTCAGAACTTGTCGGTAGACGTGCTGTTCTGAGCATACAGATGACTGCAATAGACCGTGTATCTGGAAATGCAGAGTAGTTTGACCAATAGAGTAAATGTTCAGATTGTGTGCTGTTAGTCTATAGGTTGAACAGCAATGAAATTGCTGGGAGTGTTGTTTGAAAATCAATGCTAGGCAAAATTTCTCATTAACTTACCGTAGTAAATTAGGAGAGTTGTTTGCAGGATGATTGGTTGGTTGGTTGACCTTGCTGATTATCAAGATTTAAGATCTTTTCATGGACTTTGTTAAGTAGGGTTTTTCAGCATTGCAGTTAACTAAATAACTATATTTAACTTAAGGATTTTGTTTTAAAGCCCGTAATCTGCGAAAATGACTATGGTATTACTAAAACATTTAATAACTCTGGCATAGAAATGGCTCCTCTACAAACTAGTGATCTTTGGTAAACACTGAAGCTTAGGATTGAGGTATTCAGTGCTTATTTTTCTCGCAAAATACCTCAAGTGAATATTCCTGAGTAGTTTAAATAGCATTTGTGTTTGCTAGAACTTTTAAAAGGGGATCTGATTAAAATAAAGCCCTCAGCTGAAGCATGTTGTTTTCCTGATTTTAACATTGTGCTTTCTAGAGATGAATCCTTTTACTGTTTGATGCGCTAAAGAAATCATGTAAATAACTTAAAGCAAAGCATTTTTTTGAGCTTGTAAACTTCAGAAGATAGGAAATAAAGAGAGATTGATTGATCATGTAATTAAATTGCTAAAGTGAGAAGAACATATATAGCAAACAGAGATCTCCTGAATTTACTTATCCATATTGACATACCTGCAACTCCTCAAAGCCCTCTGGAGCTTATTTAGATAAAATGTCTTCCTAAGCCACGGCCTACTTGGCAAATGTGAACACAAAGAAAGACTCATTATGTGTAGATTTAATGCTGGCAGTGAAATACTGCTTGCTGTGAACAGAAAACCACTTCTAACTTTGAAAGACTTTTTCGGGAAAATGCTATAATCCAATTAGGGGTTGGTGGCATTTGAAAATCTGTTATCTTAGTTTTAAACTTTCAATTTTATCTTATGTCCTGCAGATGGCATTTATATAGGCTGAATAAACGCCCCTGTTTTTCAAACTCGTTAGTAAATACTGGAGTATAGGTACAAAAATAGTTGTTCCCCTTTGTAAGCACTCCTTTGATCTTTGCACTTCCTTCTTCTACCTCTTAAACAAGATCATCTGTAATGACTGAGTTGCCCTTAATGAAAGCTCAATCGGTCTGAAATAGGCAGAATTTTAGATTTAGTGATCACAGTCCTCATATTTCTCTTGTTATGTTCCTTGGAACAAATTGACACTAGTTGAGAAACTGGTATCTATGGAGCTTGTTTTTACTACTACTTTCAGACTTCCAGATAACTGATGAAGAAAGTTACTACCTTAACTTAACTTTCAGGGATTGCTCATTGTGGTAGATGGAAGGCCTCGATAAGGAATTGGCAGCTACAGGAATCTTGGATTATCATTCAATCAGCAAGCCCTTATTTTTACCTAATTTATGAGAGGTATTCCCCTGTTCAGAAGAGGTGAAAGTTCTGGCTTCTGGGGGAAGTGGTTACTTCATAACCTTCAATTAGTTTGAACTTGGGAGAAGTAAGAACAGTAGTTGATATTTTGAAACAATACATTTAAAAAATGATATCTGAGTTTCTGCATAGATTTTTTATAAAGTAGTCAAAATATCTCTTTCAGAACTTATTAGTAGAAGTGCTGTTCTGAGCATAGAAATGACTGCTGTAGAAAGTGTATGTGGGAATGCAGAGTAGTTTAACCAGTAAGAGGGAATATTCAGGTTATACTCTTCTAGTCTACATATTAACTAGGAAACACATTACCAAGAGTGGATACTTAAGAATCAATGGCTATGCAAAATTTTTATTTCCCTTTTAGTAGGGAGGTTGTTTTCTTTGACTGATTGGTTTTCTCTTTATACTATAAATCATATGAAGGTGGCATGATTTATGTTTTAAGAAGAGAAGGAGGAAGGGAAAGAACAGAATTTTCAGGCTGGGGGACACTTTTAAATGTGCTGCTGCTGTGTCTGCATTTGTGTCTGATCAGAGTTCATTGACGGCTGCTGCTTGGTGACCAGAAAACCACATTGAAGCAGTTTACCCTGAGTTCTGGGAATGACTTCTCATTTGCTGTCTTGTATCTCCCATAAATACTAAATTCCCCTAGAGTGTTTTTAGAGGTGAACAAACAAGTCATCAGAAACATACCTAGTTGACCCTGTCACTGCTTAGGAGACTGAGAGTTTTAAAGATAGAGGCATTCATTCATGTTCAGAGAGAAAAGTTGGGACTTGCGACATAGTTTAGCAAGTCAGTTTAGTTCCTTGAGCATGATTTTTTGTTTTTTCCTTTTAAAAAAGATTAATATTTGCAACCAGATAATCTAGTGGAGTTAGTAGTTAAGATCATATTACCAAGACACTTATCTTGGCAATATTTCATTAATTAGTATCCAGTGCCTCTCTGTTAGATGAAAAAAAGTAACATTCTTTTCACAACGATGACATTGTTTCATACCTTTGGTGTCTGTTGTTTTAGTGAGGGCTCCTGAATGCAAATTAATACGCTTTTATATTTTCAGGTGAAGTTGGTAGACCTACTCTTGAACATCAACTAATAGCTTAGAAAATAAGTTGTAAAGTGAAATCTTATTGCTTGACTAAAATTAAACCTAAGAAGTTTTACACAACAATGATACACAATTTGATTTGTTAAAGAGTATATAGACTCTTCAAGATTGTAGATTATGGATAAAAATATTTGTTGCATTTAGAATATTAATCCTAAAAACATCATTGTATTTAAAATTTTTGACATTGTATTTTAAATTTTAAAAATAAATTAGTTTTTTATTATTCTCTTGTATTTTTTACAGTAGCTGATCGATTTAATTGTCAGTGGTACAAGTTTCAGCTGCATTAATTTCTTGCCTATTTGACATTAGAATAATGAAACAGATGGTTTAATTCCCCATTACAAACTGGTTTTTTACTTTTCATTTACATCTCATCATTAGATCCAAAATCTTACAACCAGCTTTTATTCTGACCCATACGGGGTACTTTTTAATAAATTATTGTTCTAGTGAATTTCAGATGAATATAGTATTTAGGAAGCAAGAACTAGTTTTTTACTTCTTCCCAGAATGCAAGGTAAAATAGTATAATTTTTATTCTTTGCAGAAAACAGCTGCCTTTTTTAAAAGCAAACAAAATGGAGCAAAACTTATGGGATTCTTTCATTCAACAAATAGTTGTTGAGTGCTTTCTGTGTAGCAATAAGTGCAAAGTGTCAGATATTTGCCAGTATAGATTGGATATAATTTCTTTTTAGTTGGAACTGTGGAATTTTGATTTTCTCAGATAGTTATTTTCCTCTCCTTTTAAAGAATAAGACATCAAGAATTTTACAAAAGCTCCGTCAGTCAGAATTTTCTTTTTCATAATTTCTGGGCATAAACAAAACACAGAGCTGTAATGTTTCACAGTCTTCACTGGAGTAGTCAAAAATTATATGGACAGTTCAAACATTTCCTACTGGAAAATAAAACTTTGGAATTTTCTTAGATTTAAGCCTTTTGATACATGAGATTCATTACATTAGTGCTTGTACATGAGCTATTTCTTTTTTGCTAACTTGAACTAAAAAAATTACAAAACCTACACAAACTTAAGCATACATCTATAATAAGAGTTGAATTAACATTAAGGAAGTAATTGCTAAAATGAACTTTGTCAAAATAATTATTTTACAAAATTATCATTTTTATTACTATCTATTGTGTACTTTTACTAAACACATCAAACTATATTTCAGTGTCAGGGCAAATGTATCCTTCATTTTTATCTCCAGAAATCAATTCTAATGATATTAAGCTTGAAAGAATAAAAATTAAAAGTGATGACAGATTCTCTAATCTGTCTATTCATTGGTTCTAGGTTCAAGCCTGCACGCAGTTCATTTGAACAGCTTAATTGTCTTGGAAAATATGTCTTCCAAGACAAGAATTTTAGGAATGGAGAAAATGACTTTTTTTTTTTCTTTGGTGTTT